CATTAAACAGTTTGAACAATAGAGAAGGCTTATGCTGTTTAGCATTTTGTGTCATATGGATTGGATATTTCCAAGTTCATATTAGTGATAAAATCACATTTTCTGTCATTTGGAATTTTGTGTCTTGTCCCTTGGTTTTACACACAACTTTGTACAGAAACAAATGTTGAAACTGAGGAAAAATGCTATTGAAAAAAGAACAATAATAGTGCAACAACAGTGCTTTGTCTGGGATTTCTACAACTGCTTTTTTTCCTGGCAGTGGGGCAAGAAGTGAAGTTATTGTTTAGATTGATGATAAATAGTTGCATGTTTTATCCAATGTGCAGAAAAACATTAGGGTTACTGTGTTACAATCATTCCCTACTTGTACAACCAACAGTAAATATTGCCAAAAAGTAAAGAAAGCAAATTCATTTACCTTGCAGCAGGAGGTACAATCTAGGCTGCATAAGACATCATTTTGGTTTGAGATATTTTATCATTTTCCCTACCCCTGTCTTTTATTTAGTACACAGTGTGATACTCTCTCTGCAGTGCTTTCTCCAGTGGTTCTGTATTGGTTTTCCTCCATGCATTTTGATGAAAGGTCTGTGGTCATTTCAGACAACTGAGGAAGTGTTTTCCTTTGACATTGCTTTCTTCTGTATTTGGTAGTAAGGTATTTTTCTCAGTTTTCAGTTTCACCTCAGTGTTATTAGTTACACAGCTCTTCCTCTGGTGGGTGTTGATCCTGCACGTTGTTTGATGTTGACACTGGTCTGCACAGGCCTCAGTGGAGCCACTGCTACAATATACTGACCACACAGAATAACCTGAAAAGTCAAGGCTTCAATTTGTTCAGTAAGTCATGGTTTGCAGTTCCCCTGCAGAACCTAGGTCATTGTCTTCTTATTTCTTCTGCAGTCATTCTGTAGCTGCATTGCAATATGTATGTTTGGTATAACTTGCAATATTTAGGTTATCAAGGTTTGGTATGTGTATATATATTATCAAGCTTTTTTGGCATATGTCCACCATCAGTGTAAGTAACCAGGTGTGAGGCACTGAGAGCTAAACTGAAGTTTACGGTCACTAATTCTGTCAAGTGTCTGACAGTGCAAGGATTTCAATTTTCTGCAGTAATCTAGAGTGACACTGTTATGCAGGAAGCCCTACCAGTCAAGTTCAGTCCTGCTAGGATGTGGTTTTTGCTGATTTTCATTTAATGCTGTAGGTTTATTTTCAGTATCAGAAGCATCCTTTGGTTTCAGGCAGGGTTGTTGGTTCTAGCAAGAGATGACTTTAAGGGGTGGAAGTGATCCTGCACTGATGGAGGAAAGGTTTATGCTTTCATTAGGATTTAATTTTTGATTTCCTAGTTCATTGCAGTTAAAATGTTGGTGTAAATTCAACAATCTTTGCTGTACTGTGGGTAGTATGGAGAAGCAATGCAATTATCCCATGCAGTTATTCATACCAACTGTCCGGAGAATGAGCAGCCTTCGATTTTTTGCCCTAACTCTGCCTTCAAAGATATTTCATTGCTTGGGAATACAGTATGCTTTAGATCTTCTTCAGTCCCTCTGATTCTGAGCCTAAATTTAACTTCTCTGCCTGACATAGCCCTGCTTCTTAACAAGGTTAGCATGACAGCCCCAATTGTGTTCGGCATACATTTAGCTCTTTCCCTTGGTAAACTGTTATACTGAATGCCAATTGAAGATAACACAAGAAGAGCTTCTTGAAAACAAACCCTTTCTATCCAGTAAAATGTACTCTGTACAAAGACCTACAACAATAAATATTTACATTTCTCCTTGCTTAGACTTTTGCCTTTCCTTGAAGATTTAGTAAATTTCTATCAACCTTGTTATTCCCCCCTGTGTTCTGGGAGACTTTGATTGCTAGTTAGAGCTTCTCCAGTAGAGAAGTTCTACTCCAGCTGCTGACAGGCCTACTTCTTCTCTTCATCCTGAAGTTCCTCAATGATTTATTGTTGTCTTTGATCCCAAGCCTTGGCCTGGGTATAGCAAATGTTGCAAGCCAGATTACATCTGGTTAGATTGGTTCTGGCTAGCACAGCAGGGATATTCTCCACAAGCTCCACTTGTTGTCCCCTTAGGAAGTCTTAAGTATGTCACAATTTAATTTCTTATTTTGTTCCCCTCTCATCTCATCCTTACCCTTTTCCACTAAGTTAGAGACTCCTGATAAAGATTTTGTATTTATAAGGTACAATATAGGACATTATATGTAGGAGTTGGGGAGATAGCAGACAGGGAGACTTCAGAGCTATAAGCACACTGATTTGGAAAACATTGGGGAATAGTGGAAAGATATTAATAGTTAAACTGCCATAATCTGGAGGTGTTTCATATTAATTTTTCTCCTTCTACTACAGATGTCTGTTAAAAGCTGGGCTTTGGATGCTACTTTCCATATACCAGAATCAGCTGAATTATACAGTCAAGTACTTTGTTAGGTCGGTGTCTTGTTCTCTAATGGCTGAAGTCTGCATTGCTTTTTTGAGAATACTTTTATAGCTTGCCTGAAGCTTTCTGAAACATTTATTATGAAGTACAGGTAGAGGTAGGCTAAAGTTTTCAAGCCTGAATGGATGCAGTTAGACATCCTAAATCCATATCTAGGCACTTTAGGAAATGTGATTTTCAGAGGTAGGGAGCATAGAAAAAGGTTCCAAATAATTTTGAGGCTAGTATTTTTGTGCATTAGATACCATTTTTTATGCTTAAGTGTATTTTCAAGCTCTGAAAATTTTGACTATATGGCAAAAGAGAGCTTTAGACTATATATTTATTATAAAGTATTTCGGAGCTGGATGAAACTCTGATTATCTAATGTATTTTTTTCCATTCTGACATAGGGCAGATTCCTGAATACCCATTTTCCAGTAACATCTTGAGTCTTAACATAAGACTAATCTAAAAATCAGCCTTTTTCCTTCCTGTGGTCTGCAGTATGACTGGCTGTACAACCCAAGTCTTGCCCAAGAAAAAGTGTTCTTCAAGACATATTATTTTGATAACTGCTCTTAGTAAGACTCAATGCTATATAAAGTCAAGGTTTTATTACTGAAAAAAAGAAGGCAGGGACTGTCATTGCATTTCCCTCCAAATCTAAGAGAACATCAATTTTACAGACTCAGTACCCTGTTCTGAACTTACACAGGAGTTTGGGATTGCTTTCATTTGAAAAGCAACCACACACTAAATACCCATAGTATTTGGTTCTTAAGGAAGCACAGATAAAGGAACAACCCATGCAATTAAATTGCACATAGCCAAGTTTTTCAAGCTCCCTGTTCACCATCTAGATTGTCATTGGTGGAAACCTGAGTCTACTGCTACTAGTTTCTGTGACAGCAGGATCTTTCCTGCTATGTGTTACACTATGGAACATAAAAAATTTAACAAGGAAAATTGTGACAAAACTCCTGTTGTGATAAGCAAAATATTGTTCATGAGAGACGCCCAAAGACTAATCTCTGAATTGAAAAGGTAGTTTAACTTCACAATGATGATTCGTTCAATATGAGTCTTATTTAAACATTTATGCATGAGTATCTTTATGTAAGTGGGTAGTTCCACCAAGCTAGATTTTTGTGTATTACTTTGTTTAGATGTTTGGACAAGGTCAAATATCTCTTGTGCCTTCTCAGCATTTTCCTTTCAATTCTGTGTCGCTTATAATGCTATTTGTTTAGTTCCCATCTTTGTGTCTCTGCTCCCAGTTTTGTATCTGTTTTGACTTCAAGCTCTTGAAGCTGAATCAATCTTGCTTTGCACAGATCACTGTAAGGCTTTGTAAGGCTTTGTGCTGGTACCTGTAATAACTGCAGTTATTACAACACAGGAAACACTAAAAATCCAACTCTGAAACAAATTATATTGAGTAGGTTAATATAACTATCTAATCTGTATTAACTTCAGTTGCTTGGAGAGTAACGGTGTAGGAGTGACTTATGCTGCTCAAATCCCAGACAGCGTCCTGCAATAACGCACACGTAGTCTCAAAAGGATTGATTGAAGCTTCAAATACCAGAATTTATCTACGTACAAAAGAAGTAGAAAAAAACCCCTGGATTAAAAAAAAAAGATCATTATCAATGAGCAAAATGCTTTACAAATTATTTGTCTTAATTCCACTGTTGCCATACCTACAGACCCAGTTTTCAGATGCCATGAATACAAGGCCAGGTGCATGGATGCCATTAGTACTTTCTTGATCGGCAGCACCGGCCAGAGGCGAGGTGCAGCGCTGCCACCGTCCTCCCTGCCAGGACCAGGCAACCCTCATCGCCCACCCCCCCAAAGTTTTTGAGGCTGGAAGGCGGCTGGCCCGGCGGCTCCGAGAAACCGCTTGCTTGCCTTCTAGAGAGATTCGCTTTCCAGCTGCGGGACAGGGAAGGGACTAGCGTTTCCCACCGCTCCTGCTGCCTTCCCCGGAGCCGCAGTGCCCCGGGAAATGCCGATGGGAGCTCGCCAGCCAGGGTCGAGCTGGCGCCGGCCTCCTCGGGAACGACCCCAGCCCGCTCCGCCCGTCCCCTCGGGCCGCGCGGCCCCCGGCAGCACCTCCCAGCCCCCGGCGGAGGCGGCCGCGGAGGCCGGGCTCCCTCTGGGCGGCAGGAGGTGAATGGCAAGCGCCGGCGTCTCCCTCCCACACCCCAGCGTCGGTCTCGCCTCCTCCAGCAGCAGCAGCAGCGGGTCACCTCTGCGCGGCCGAGCCGCGCCGCGCCGCGCTGCCTGCTGGCCGCAGGGCTCCCGGAGAGGCGGCCGGAGGCTGCCCTCGCTACCTGGGGCCGCCGCCCGCCCGCGGTGACACTGGGAGGGCACTCCCGAGGGCGGCGCCGGGCAGGAGCGCCCGCAGCCAGAGGCAGTCGCACCTCTCCTTGGCGGCGGGGAGGCTCGGCTCCGGCTGCCCGGCTCTTCATTTCCTCTCGCCGTCCGTCGCGCTGTTGGAGGCTCCGGACTATAAATAGCAGCTCGTCCGCCGCCGAGCGCCTCCCGCACACCGAGGGGGAAAGTGCCGCGCCGGCCGCCCCGCCGCCGGACAGGTACCGCCGCTCGGGAGGGGTGCGGGGCTCTCGATGCCGGCCAGGGTTTTGTTTCCTTGTTTTCCCTTTGGGCTCCGGCGCGTCAGGAGGGATCAGAAGCCGAGAATGGGCTCCGGCAAAGTCCCTCCCTTTCATTCCCTTACCAAGTTTCTTAAGGTCACAGCCCTGGCAGCGGAAGAAGGCGCGTTCGCCGGGAGCCGCGGTCGCCGCTGGGCGAGAGGCGATCCGGGCGGGCGCGGCTGCCGCTCTCCCGCCTCCCCAGCGCCGGCGCTGAGGGAAGGAGGGTGGCCCGGCCGAGCCGGAGACCCCTGCCCGGCCCGCTCCAGGGATCGCTGGGAGTGCGGAGGGACCCGAACTGCCAGGGTGGCTTCTGGCTAGGACGCGTCAGGGATCTCCCGGAATTTCTCCCGACGGCGGCGGCGTTGCCCGCCGCGATGTCGCCTTGGCCGCGGTGCCGGCCCCCCCGTGCAGCTGGAATCGTGGCCCTTCTGAAGGGCTATCGGGAGGTCTCCAGGACCTTACCTGCAAAGGTTTCGTGTCGCCTTCGAAAGTTGGGAATGCTCGGGTGAGGGTAGCGACTTCTGTGGGTGACGCTAAGGGTTAATTTGGTGGAGTAATTGAGCTATAGGATCCCCATATTGCAAAGAGCAGCGTCTGCCGAGATGTAATGGAAACCACAAGAAAGATCTTACAGATAATGAAGTTGAGCAGAGTTGTAACTTGAAATTGTATCAGTCAGAAGAGGTGGGGTGGGGGATGATCAATTTCTGATCTACAATCGAGTAGAGCTCGGTTTTCTTTTTCTGAAATGACGCTGAGAATTTGAAGCATGGATGGCAGTTGGGAGTCCCACCTTTTTCCCCAAAACTGACCCGGTACCTTATCCAAAATAGAAATAATAGGATCAAGTCTTTGTGGAGCTGTGTTTTTATCTGATGCCTAATTATGTTTCCATTTATCTTCCTTGCTAGAAGAAATTTACTTATTTATTTACCCATTAATGATGTGTTAAATAGATATACTAAAATCAGGCCATACGTAGGCCATTTACATCTGACTTTCAGTCTCAGAGATGAGAATATTTTTCGTTTTTACCGGCTTACAGGCACTCTTTGTATGTAAATGATGCCTACATAGCAAGAATGATGGGGAGAATGTCTCTTTCTCGGTCTGTATCAAAGAAAAAGTATGCAAATAATTGGTTACTAACAAAACTTCTGTTCAGATGAGTATTTGCAAGTGTGATAGAAGTCTTTAAAAAGGCAGTTTTCTAGTCACTTGGTTATTTTCAATGTTTTTATTTTACTTGATTAAATTTCAGCTAGCTTTAAAGAGCTGCAGTATCTCAGGTTTTTTGTTCTGTGAACCTGTATATTGGATGGTGCTTGCGTAGGTAAGCCCTCGTTACTGTATCTATCCATGCTAGACTGAATGTTGTTTACTTCACACATGTTGATAATCTCACCAAAATTAGGATACAAGTCACAAGATGAGTATGAACAGCAATTAGTTCTGTGAGATTTTTACAGCCCTGATGGCGTTAGTGGCAGCATGTGGCAGTGTTACTACTTCAGAGCCCTATTTCTGCTTTTTTTCTCCCCTTCCACTTTCTGACAGTTTCTACAGCACTGAAGATAAGATTAAATCTTTCTTGAAAATGCATCTTTTCTTTTACTGGCTTTCTTGGACTCACTGAAGCTTCAAGTTCCTGTTCTCCATGGGTTCCTGAAACCTTGGAAGTGCAGCTGATCCTTCTTTTGCTCCGGTTTCTTTGGCGAGACTTATCCATGAAGCTGCTTTAGTGTTTTTGATCAAAGAACTCTCTCTTCCTCAGTGTAAGGTATATCTGTTTGAGCAGTTGTATCCAAGTACCTCTTACATATCCTCCTTTATGATCTATAGTCTCCTTATCTTCACATCTGACAAAGATTTCACATTAGGTGAAGGTTTTGTGAACCAAAAAGGCAAGATTAATACTCTGCTTAGTGCCTAGAAGTCTACTGTACTGTAAGAAATAAAAAAAACCAAAACAACCCAACACCTGAACAAAAACCACAGGAGTGGAAGACCTGCCTGGAGCATGGAAGTCAGCCTGTAAAGGACAGTGCTGCTGGCTGACATTAATGAGTGGAGGCTGTGAGAAAGTCTGCAGGTGAAGTAATTGTTTGAATAGGCCTAAATTCACTGTGAATTTTTGGAGGCAAAGTAGTGGCATTGATAGGTATGCTGAATTATTTAGCTTGTTAAGGATATATATTTTTAGCATATGACTTCTGCAGAGAAATATGAAAACAATACTCTTTGAATTTATGTAGCAGATTTACATGAGGAAGTAAGATTGTTTACTGAGACAAATCCAAAGGTGGACAGAACACTAAAGTTTCTTCAAAACTTCGATGACTTGAGGCCTCATGCTTAAACACTTGGGTAAACAGCTTAAACACTGTATAGCTAACACAGTTAGCTACATATTTCTCCCTAACTTATATATTCATAGCTCTTCCTGTATGTGAAATGCTCTCTGACTGATGGACATTTTTAGGAAGGGCTATTTTTGCTTGGCTTATTAAATATCTTGTATTATACTAATATTTTATTGTTATTATTGATGAATGGTGAATGTTATTTATTACACTTTTGAGAAAGGATTCTTTATTTTAAGTAATCTGGGCTAATATAGCTCAAATTCTATGAAATACTTTTCCCTGGATTTTTTAATTTACTTGCAAATCTCACTTTGATTGTCAAAACATGACCCTGATGGAAGGGTGAATGTTATTTGGCATGAGTTGGCAGTTCTGGCCTCATCAGGCCTTGGGTCTTGTCTGCTACTTACCCTGGGTTTAGGGCCCTCCCCACACTTTCTGATTTCACCTACAAACCTGGCAATGTCACTACAAATTTGTCCTGACTTTTCCATCTCTTTATCCAGCAGCAGTCACAGCTAATTTTTTTTTTTTTTTTTTTTTTTTTTTTAATTTTTATTTTTTTTTTTTTTTTTTTTTTTTTTTTAAGGGAATTCTTAATTCTTCCTTAACTCAGCTGGGTAAGGATCTGGTCAGTTAACTTCTCAGACTCTCCTGTCCTGGATAGTTGATATGTTACAGAAAACCTGAGGCAAACTGTGAAAGGCCAGCTGGGTTTCACAAGGTTTGAGTGTGGTCTGAGATGTCTTCACAGTCATACAGGATTTTAATTAAAAAGATTTGCTTGTCTTCATACAGAATCCATGCTAGCAATTCTAAAGAGGGCTTGAGGTTTGTGGATATTAGTTTCCTGGTGTTTGGAGAACTGGGCTTTTACTGCTTGCTAGAAGAGGGAAAAAAAAAAAATGTATGAGCTACTGATGTAGAATCCTCTAGTCCGTTTTCTCCATAATCTGCAAAGGAAGATTCAATTGATTTGGCCAGGTCAGTAGCTGAAATAACATACTGAAAAGTGAAGTGAACATCTTGTGCTGTACATGGTATGATTATGAAGATGTCTTGAGAGGGAGTGAATAGAACAAACTGTATCTGCTTATTCTGTAGGGTTTTCAAGTTTACAATGATAAAATTTACTTACCTATTTCAGTAATGGGTTTTGAATTGTTTGGTGTCAGTGTAGTTGGAGTGACTTTTAAGAAATGTAGAATTATTTCTGCTTTTCAAGTATTATAGATCTGAAGTCTAAAGAACTTGACACCCTTCAGAATCCAAAGAGACTGGGCTGGAGTGTTCTTTTTACAGTCGCTTCAGCTCTGGCTCTGCACAGGAGGTTTCAAATTTGGTCTGGATGTTAAAAGCCTTTTTGTCTCAGTCTGGCAAACTAAGCATCTTCCTATTTGTCAGTGAATTTACCCCACAGGTTCCTTTAGATTGTTCTTAATGTTGAACTAGGCTCTATTAAATTAAAATACATAAGAAAACTCAAGCTCAAGGTGCTTACTTGACATAGTACCGTGTCAAAGTGTTAAATGTGATGCTGTTTTTCAAGGTCACTTTGGCAGTCTGAGTTTATGCTCTGTTACTGGGTTCCATGGCATTAAAAATCAATTCCATCAGTTCTTTTTTGATGGTTGTCTTTTGTTTTGTTTTGTATCCTGTTTCTATGAAATTTCACCATGACCCCAGTGAAAATTTATCTTGAGTATGTCAGTAAAGTCAGTCTGGGGGGAACTTTCTCTTAAACTTAACATATATAAATAACTAAACCACTTTCCTTTGGATCAATTTCTTTCATTCTGCTATCTGTACTCTTGCTGTTTGGAGTTTCTTGCTGCAATAACACTATTTTGGCAAATAGGGTGAAATCTCTTAATATGAGGCACTACAAAGACCCTGTTTTTTAACGTGACTGTAAGAAGTGGATATGTAAAGGGCAATTAAGAGGAAGAAAGTCTTGGAGGGAATAAGCTTTTATTGTATTTTGACAGCTGTTCATGTACGGTCAAGTTTGTGTATTATTTGTTTAGTTATCAAGTGTGATCTTAGCGTATTATAGCAATGCTAGTAAGATGCACTAAACCTAGGGTACATATTTCTATTATGAAAATGTGAAACATGCAAATGGGTGTAAAATCTAGGTGTTAAATGTGGCTTTGTATCTTGTGCATTTGTGCAGATGGAGCATTAAGCAGAATGCATCAGCTCTGGTGTTGCACGGTGTTTCTGTAGCAGCAGTAACAGGTTCTGTTTGCTTTGTGTTTGTGTAAGTGGCTAAAGAAAACAGCTGTCAGTAAATATGAGTTTTTTAAGATGAAATAACTTTCTCTGCTATAGAAATGTAATTTTGGAATAATATTTTTATTGGGTTATTCCATATTGTTCTGTAAATGAGAACAGGGGTTGTTACACAGAGTAGGAAATAGGTTATTGTGAACATCAAATGCACTCAGTCTGCTATTTTTATAGTTTTAAAAATATAGTATAAGTATAACATATAAAACTATATTTTAAAATATTGGAAAAATATAGTTAAAAACATAGCCCTTTCAATTTATGATAATTAATTTAGATTAA